TTCGTACATATTTATCATTATTAATATTGCGCAATATTCGTAAATTCCAGATCATATAATTCAAATTTCATTTTATTAAACTCGAAAGAATTGCAGTACTTTCTACAATTTTGGACTGAATTTGTTTACATTCTGTCCCCATATTTAAAACGCCACAATTATCAATAAAAGCAAACAATTCTGAAAGCGTGCAAAATGACTGATACAAATTGAGAAAACTTGAGACCATTTTCCTGGTCAAAACTGTTTCTTGTTTGAAGTTCGTAATTAATGACTTAAAAGTTAAATTTGTTATTGAAAATGTTTTACTGATCTCTGACCAACACCAGTTTTAAAAATCTCCAAATTTTCAATCTTAATAACCTATATTAAGGAAAACTAATTCTTGTAGGTGCATTTAATGCCAGTAATTAAATGACTTATGACTAAATGTGTATAATTTGGGGGGGGGACATTCAGTTATATGGGTTCAAGAAGCAGCAGTTTCTTTCCTCTTACATGTCTGTTTCCACGCTCCATGTTCCTGGTACCGTTAAAGGAATGTGTGCTAGTGTTCCCTGCATATTCGTCATTCAAGTCTTCAGGTACTGGCGCGTACATGAACTTCAATAAGTCTGCACACCGTGTTATCAGTTGTGATATCTGTTGCCTTCAAAAGGAAAATAAATTATAAATTGATCCTAAATTACCATCTTCTATAAGTCGCAATCAGTGATGATGAATGGACAAGTCACTTTCCAAATTGAAAGTTCTTCTTCAAGAATATTAAATTTGAGATTTGAGATTTGAGATCTGAATGATGATTAAGTGTTGATTCTGGCCTTAATGCTGTATAGCTGTGTGGACTTACAGGCAGATGTCAACGTTTCAGAGTAACATATTGCCTCCATCATCAGCGATCAGGTGAAAATGGAGGCAGTGTGTTCCTCCAGAAAAACAGATATTAAGGAGTCGGGAATAAAAAAAATATATAATTCAAGATACTTACGAAGGATACCTGGGCGGTGACGCGCAATACCCCATTTCTTTAGCTTTCGGACAGTCCTCATCAAGAATATCTTTCAAAGTTACTTTCTTTTTAATATCTGGAGCGGAAGTAGTCCCGAGTTGATTTTCTGAAAGCGACCTCGTGCCTGGCCCAAGCACCGGAGGATTTGTTATTCTTATCGCTGAGGGCAGTTGAACGGAATGCAGCATCTCGTCCGGCGGGGCATGATACGTCGAATGATGTTCACTGGCCTCTATACTCTGTGTAAACTGCACATCGGGCTCCAGATTGCGGAAGTTTAAGTTGTTTGGAAAATTTACAAGCGCGTGTTTTTGTTCACTCGATGGAGAGGCTTGAGGCACAGTCGCGGTGTGCTGAAGTTTTCCAAAATTCTCAACTATTTGCGACAAATTCTCATGATCTCTCCCGTTTTGGTTCCACGTGTTTCTTGACGGAATTGTGTTTTGTACAAATCGGCTTTGATTTAGCTTTAACGAGTTCTGTGTGTCTGATCCAGTCAGTTGTTGCTTAAGGCCTTGATGGAAAACAGGACTTGAAAACTGTAATTGTTGTCTATGCGGGAAATTTTCCAGCTGCTTGGTGACAATGGATTCTGATATAGAACTGTCCGATGGATTACCGAATTGCTGAGGTTTCCGACTTGTAGAATCCACGACGTTCTGATTAAAAGCAAACTGTTGCCTTAGATGTTCAGGTGAATTGTTCTGTTTAAAGGTTCCTTGAGGAAATTGAGCAAAATTTGAATGAATAATTCTATCATCTTGATAGCTTGGAAACTGTGAAAATGACACAGCTGGAAGTATGAATGGCCGCTGACTGACTGGATGTCTACTATGTGATGTCACTGAAGGATCTGGAGGTCGTGGATGGATTCGTGGCCTCAGTTCTTGAGCGGGTGGTGGAGGAGGTCTCATGACTGATATGGTATCTGAACTCGGAACCCGCTGAACCAGTTTCGTGTTCCTATTTGATGGCTGCCAGTCTGCTGAGCCGAGAGTGTTTACAGTAACACCAACTGTCCTGGTGGCCAGGAGGAAGGACATTAAGATGAAAATCTATAACAAAACCGACAAGGGAAATGTTTACTTACTTTGTCTTTAAGTCCACCTGTTGCTTGGGAGAAAAGAAACAACTACACACACATCCTGTCGTTTATGGAAACCAGTAATTCATTATCATGTTCACAAGGCCCTGCCTCTGTACCCAGTCCACACACACACCCTCTCTATTCAAGATAATTTTTAGTATTTCCTCCCATGTATACAATTTTTACTTGTTATTCATGGTTTTCTTACCTCTGATATATATGAAATTTTAAGTTATTCACTCTGTAGATAGAGTTTGAAATTATTTTACATTTATTTTGTTAAATATTTATCATACCAAACAATTTCCAAATAAAAGCCGTAGATCTTATTTGGAAGCCACATAGGGCCTACCAGTTCTTGTAGGATGAACTATTTTTTGAGAAATTCGATAAATCTCAATTGAAGCTTTGTGTAAAATATGGGTTATATGCCACCGGTATGTAAAGGTAAAGCTGTCCCCGGTGCTTAATTAAGCATCGCGCCATGTAGACATATGAGGAGTGGAGGTATATCTCCACGCATTCTTAATCTCAGCACTTAAATAGATGAGTGGTCTGGTTCACGCTTCAGCCATTTTTCCCCCGCGGTTATTGTCTAGTTTAAGATGCCATGCCAGTATTTTACAAGAGCGGCTGACGAAAACCACAGAACTCCTGAGTCACGACAGAAGATCTCCAGTGGGAGTACTAACCACTTCGTTTCAGGTTACGCCTTTTCGTTCCACTTGTCTCGATCCTGCAAGTGAAAATACTAAACAAATGAGATTGTGCCACAATGCAGCTGTGTCGTATTATTCTGCAGAGAAGGTCGTGTCAGAATATCTAGAAAAGATCTGTGTATATAAAGAAAGCAATATAATCGTTTGTATTCAGGTGTTAAGGGGTCATGTGCTACGTCACGCGAAAAGAAATTTTGTTCTCTGACGCGTTAACATCTGATATCCGGTTGTGATGTTCTTTCAACCGTGTCTTAGTTTTCGATCCGGCTTATACAGCGGTAACGCTATGGACCTGCATTCTGGAAGCAATCAATTCTAATTTCTGCTGTCCTAAATTTGTAGCTTTCTCAGTCCTTCCAAGGCGATTGTCAGAAGAATTCGTTTAAACAGGTTCTTACTACTTACCTGCCAACCATTTTTGATGATTATAATCTGAATTAAAACTGAAGAAAGTTCGTTAAATAAAGATTAATTAGTTTTGTCAGTCTGCAAAACAAATATGACATATCCATATTCTTGTATTGTATTCGACGAGAATCCATAGTCTGTCCAAATGAATGCAAATCAGCAGACTACTGTCGATGGAAAGGATTTATC